TGAGATAATTAGCTGAAGCATATTTTACACTGTCCACCACTACTTGACTGCAAAACAGCCATATCCACATACTAATGGGGAGGCGTTTGTAGACTATGCTAAAAGCAAGTTTGAGACGTCTGCAGTTATTCCGACCTTATGTACGTTCTTCTTCTCTTCTGGGTTCGACATTAGTGCTCGTACACTTAAAACATGGCAAAAGGGAAAGGACTCCTAGAAGGGCCACCATTCGTATTTCCAGTTGATTTTTTTTCAAACCCTTTTGGATATCTGGAACATGATCAGACTCCAGGTTAACAGTGGTAAATATTCACACTACACCAATGCTACACATATTGAAATTTCGCTCGATTGGATCCAGTAGGAAAGAAGTTACGACTGAAAATTATAACTGTAAAAGCATTTCGCCAAATACTTTTGAGCGCTACTGTTCCTCCTCATCTGATGGTTTTGAGGTGTAAGCAGAGTACTGGGGATGTGCCATTAATATCTGATGTCCCCATCATCCCCTTCGAACCCTTTTTTGCCCTACTCTTGCGCTATATTCTTTCTACCGCAACTAAACTGAAGGAAAGCATCAAGCAATCTTTTTAACCATAACTCTCATAAAGCAAGCCTTACTAATTCGGATAACAATGGGAAAACTGTAGCTTTGTCATAGAATTGGAAAAAAATCGAAAAAAAAAACAGGTAGAGGTCGGGATGGATGATGCATAAGGAGAAAAAAGAGAAGAACGGTGGGCGGGGCGTGTGTCAAAACGGGCGGTGCACAGGCAGAAAATGAACAACATGTTACCATAGAGAAAACATGTGGGAGGTATGGATTTAAGAGGTTAAAAAAGTTCCTGTGGCGAAGTATAGGGTCAGTGCATAGGGGACGGTGGTGGGCACTGCTTGCTGGATTCATCTAATCTAGGAAAAGTCCCAGCACTTCTTCAACATCGTTCCAAGAGTCAGTGCAGGGCGGATTCGTTTAACAATTTGTCGTCCATAAGTCGTGGTCGTCTAGGAGATGCACTTTTCAGCCATCAATAGGTGTCATTTTATGGGGCCATCAAAGGCCTCAAATAGGCACAACGGACCTTGACAAGAGGACGTTTTCAAGGATGCCGAATCATGATTCCACTTCAAGATGGGATCCAGATCTATAGTTATGCATTCCTACAATAGTTCGTCTATCCTATGCCTTACCGAAATTCTCGGTAGCTCTTCTCAAGCTTCCAATTACCCTATAATATAAATACCCCATGTTGACAGTTGAACAGCTCATCACAGTATACGTCCACCTGCTGGTAGATTAACGTAATTAGAGCATAGAGCACTGAAGATGGCACATAAGTCTGAGGCAGAGCCAGTAAGAGAGGGTAATGGAGGTGTACGGAAGGATCATTTGTAGGTACAATTCCGCCCAGAAGCGAGAGCTTTCAGATTTTGGATCATGAAGGGGACGATAAAAAGTGGCAATTGAAAACACAACAACAAGATAGAGTTCACACAAACGTAACTATAAAGTCCCTATTGAAAAAAAGAGCACACCTGACCTGCCACAGCACAAAGTAAGTGATCGCAACGGAAAGCACATTGTTCACAACAGCTGCGATAGATCGTTTTTGTATTGATTGGGGATGATTGCGATCAGTACCATCATGATCAGCTATATGTAGAAAGCCGACATATGAAAGTGGAAACAGCACCGCCAGTGACACTGACGCGCCACATCCCATTACCTGAAAGGCAATCCCTATAATCAATAGCCTGAATAGCCTAAATAACTAAACTGCACCTCTCGAACGCAAAAAGATGAAAGACAAAGAATGAGAATGATAAAAAACGGAAATTGATATATCGATGGTAAAAGAGGGAGAGGCAAGAAGGACCCCTCTGATATCAGTGAATAATAGCCTCGTTGACATTTTTGCAAGTCATTCGCGTGGGCCACAATTCCGCACTAAGATAATAACGAAAGTGGCTAAATCGAAAGAATTCGAAGATAGCTCGGAATAAATTAAGGAAAAGGAAATTCATTTCCTGAATTACTTGGAGGCACTGACAAAAATGAAATGAATTTCATCTCCATCGCAAAGATTGTCTCGTAAAAAAAACAATGAGAAAAATGAAAAACTCCAAAAAACAAATGTAAATCAACGACGAAACCACTATTTAATAAAGGCTAGAGAAAGTAAAGATAGATGGTCTTGCACTCCAATCGCAAAATTGTGGCATCTCAATAGCTAGCTTGCCCGTACAATGATCTATAGGCAGCAGTCGACTCAGTGTTTCTACAATTATTACTAAGTAAATAAAGCATTCATAAAATTCTTCCAAAATGACGACGAGCCCAGTTAATCTGTTGATGATTCACGGATCTTATTCACGGGTCATTTGCTAATGTACAAACTGAATAACCACTGAAATGCACTGAAATGGACTGGAATATCACTATGTAAGTAAGCTGGCTAAATGCAAGTATGGGTGTTGTTGTTATTGTTGTGTGTGTGTACCTGTCTGTAGGATGGTGTGTGTGGGATTTGACCGGAAATTCACAACTTCTGTTCCCATGGATCTAGAGGGATCAATCAGGATTTATAGGAGTACAAGTGGCAGGATGGATGGGAGCACTAATGACAGGTGGCAGGACTGGATCCACTCAAGGGGAGTGGAGGAATCTAAAACCGAAAATCCTATCAAGACTTTCAAAGTATGCACCGTGAATTCACTCCCTTACTCTCTTCACAAATAAAATGAATAGTACGACAGGTGCCAGATAGTGATTTCACGCTCAAAATAAAAAGGAGAAAAGGAGGAGAACCCGGCGTCAACCGGGCGATCTGACTGGTTTAGATATAGGGTGGAAAGAAGAAATGCGGTATGCAGATGATCCGTGAGAGAACACGAAAGCAAGTAAAGACTGTCACCTTCAATAACGTAGACATTAATCATAGTGTGATTTTACGAACCACCACAATGACAACATGACCGCAATTGGCGAGTCAATGGAGACCATTACGGTTGACTATCATCACTGAGAGACTGAACAAACAAACCATTCACAAACAAGGACGATTTAAAGGTATATAAAAGTGTTCATGAATAAATGCAACATCAAAACCAGTTTAGAATGTGCTTTTCAGAAAGCGAATTTCAGGGGGTTTATTCGATTTCTGCAGAGTACATAGGAGTGTGCGGCGACGTTTTTTGTACCACCCGACGGACGACGACCATGAATCAATTTTAAAGATTACGGCGATGAAAGGTCGCCTAACAACATAGATTTTCCATCTATAAAGGTCTAAAATGAGTAAGCAAACAACTACTAAGCGATAGCATAGCGACGAATCGCAGCCTGTGGAAATTGCCTTCAATGACGCCGAATCAATTCACGATCCCATGAGTATTGACACCATAAACAAATGAACCGTGACCACGCCAAGGCGACTGGTTAGATGTTGTAAAAGTAAAAAAGGCATGACGAAAAACATAAAACCTGTGGATTCCGAAGGAAGCTTGTTTGTCTTCTCCAAACATTCCCATCCATCTCGGCCTAAATATATCGGCGCCGCGACGCTAACGAAAAACGCTGCTGCGAAGAGGAAAGCGAAAAGAACGTAGAGATGGAGAGCCGTCAGGCTGTCTGGTAATCAAGGGGCATCTGGAAACTAAGAAATTAAGCTATGAGGCAGGAAGAATTGACAACGTACGGTAGAAGTTTCGTCCAAGGCCCATAAGCCTTTTGAGGGGTCATTTAAAAAGTTCTGAACCAAGCTCGGAGATCATCAGTGAAGAGGAGACACAATGAGGCAAACAAATAAACACAGCTATCCAACCCCACTACTAAATGTAAATAATGTTGACAAATGGCAAGAAAGCCATAAGAAAAAACTCTGGCTCCAAGAAACAATGTAGCGCAGGTGCTTCGAATTGGATTCGGCATTACTTCCCGCAGGATCGTATTTCTTGGTAGCTCACCGCTTTACACACCCGAGCACAAGTAGTTCACTTGATACTGACTGGGAAAATGGACACTGATCTCCCTCCAGAGAGCTTTCTTGAAAACAATATCTTTATGGGCATTTGCTGTCTTATAAATATTCAATGCCTTGTGCCAAATAGAAACAATTCTGAACTGAGTTGGAATCACAACAAGTCACTCACGTTAATTTCACCAACACCAAGCGATTCCTCAACTTGGGAGACGATAGAGAAAATGAAACTGCCGGTTTCACCATTAAAAAACCTGCACACAATCATTAAATAGTAATGAGATTTTCGAGGCAATTTTAAGTTAAGCGAGGAAGCCTCTATGATAAAATCTAGTTGGTAAGGAATGTTTTACAGCTTCAGCCAATCAACCCCTAGAGTCAAAACCAAGAGGATAAGCAAGTAACAGACGTCGCCACTTCCACAGACGTTACCCACCGGGCGAAACCACCAAGTAGAGGAAAATTCCTTCCATCAAAAGCCGACCAAGTGGTCAACTAATATTCTTCTGGAAAACATAAAAAGGATTATTTGCGCAGCACCGTCCAGTCCTCGGAATTACTGAGTCACTTTCAAAAGTTTTGAAATTGAATAAACGAAGTTACAATTCATGGCGCACTCTGAAAAGTATATGCAAAGCACTAGACCTTTGCGGATGAAAGATCTTGTAGTTCATGATCGAAACAAAGAGAAATCTAAAAACCTGCCGTTTTGGCGAAAAGGGCATCCAACTTTCAAATCAAAAAGACCAACAAACCAACAACGTGGGCAGGTGTAGATAGCTGTCATTCGATGACGTTCGGTGATAATGATAGATTGGATACATAATAAAATAAAAAGTCCGTCCACAAAGAAAGAAAACTTGCTTATCGATCAAAAGCGAAATGGCGTTACAGCAAAGACCTTCGACAGATGGCTTCATTGGAGCTTTGTTACTAGGTAACCCCTGAAGAAGTAGGCCAAAGGAGGGCGAAGAGGGAAGGTCTGTGTGGTTGGTACCAGGCATCGATTAAGAGCATAATTAGGCCCAGATCAATTCCATCGATGTCTAACACGGGACGTTGAAATGGAGCCACTAAGCAACAATTGTTATTCCACTGCCCACGTTGCGTGCTGTTCGACTATTAAAGGGAGGTATGGCTTGAACGATTAAATTAATTCACCAATACGAAGCGCATGGTTTCTGCTAAAATATTCTCACTCAACTGAGTCGTTAAATTCGGTGTCAATATAGTCGGGGAGGGTAACAAAGGCGGGGGCGGGCAGGCATGCTTGTATCCTTGTCTGCGCTCTCTCAGCGAAAAAGTATTCCGTTCTCCACAAAATTCTCCACTATCCCAATTTTTTTCACGAGTTTAGCATCCCCTTCACCTCTATCTTATTTTTTCTTACTGTTTCGTTAAAAATGCATTTCTTGGTATCGGAACCGTTTCTAAGCAACCCCAGCAACCTCCGCAAATCGGCGCCACATCCTTCTCTGTGTTCTAACTCATAGTGTTAGAGACGCAGAGCACAATCAGGTAGGCCCCTTCAACTGCATTTTTACTGATGGAAAAATCAACAGTACCCCAACAAATAAATCGACTACCCATCGGTAATCACCAGTCCGCCTAACATCATCTTCCTTTCCTGGTAGGCCGATGAAGTGAAAGCTGATTTGAAGCAGTTGAAATAAGTTGAGAAAACAAGGTTGGGAAACAGTTCCGTCATCAATTTTCCTATTCCTATCGGAGGAATGGGTATATCCCTTAAAGCCACAGACTCTTCGGGGCGGTTTCCGTCCCAAAAATCCAAACCGAAGCTCCTACTGCACAACAGTGCTCTACACTCGAGAAGGTAAGTAAAAAACACCTAGGACTAGAGCTACTCGTTCTGGAAACCTAACATAAAATAAATTGCTGTCCCCCTCGGGTAAGTGGCCCTAAGACGTCCGTGCTTAACCGACTTTCGCTTGCCCAAATGCTCCACAACGATGCTCAGACAATTTTTAGACATTCTCTATCCTCCCCTAATGACAATTGACAGCTCAGTGGCAGCGATGCCGCCTCCTTTCCCTAGCTAATAAGGTCTCAGTGAATGTTCCTTTGTAGAAGAAAATGGTCAGAATAGACGATTCCACTTAAGCGAATACATTAACTTTAATGGGAAGGAAATTGCTTTTAAATGAGACTTTCCCTGAATTAATCGTAACTAGTCCATCGTAACTATATTAAGGTGGACTTCATCAAAAGCCATTTACCAAATTCGGTTAAACAAGTTCATTCCCAGGAAGAATCTAATATAATATTGTATGAGGACAAATAGTTTTCCCCGTCTAGGAGTGTTTGATTCCATTTCAAACACTCTCCCAAACATTTATCGCATATCATCAGTCGAAACGTTGTCGCTAGGAAATGACATTTAAAGGTCAATAATCCTGCTATCTCCTGACCCAGGTGGCGTATGTCACGCCAATCTAATGTCATTAATCATGAATTCCCGACTTTTGATATCGTGCATGCCAACAGGATAGTGTCAAAAGGAATGTACGTTAGAGAAAAGTGCAGTCATCATTTAGTGAATCAATGATCGAACTGATGAACGAAGGTTCATAAAAATAGCACTGGGGCGTATGGAACAAACATCACCGGCAAAACACATTTTTCTCGTTTCACTGGCTATCCCACTGAAATAGCATCCCATGACCAGTATGACTTGGCGAAGAAACTTTGTACCATACTGACTCCCTTCCCCTTCCGAGGGTATGGTAATATGCGTTTGGACGCGAACGCGAACGCGTTGCGTTCGCCTCACCCATTGCGCGCAGTCGCGAACTATGAACGGGAAAATCAGCAGTCCAAGAGGAACGATACCGTAAATTGTCGCAAATTTACAGACGATTGCAGTGGCAATTCGGGAGAAAACACCGCCTACCCCTTTTCACATAGGGAACTCGGCCAAATTACAATTTGCTCGTGATGAGACTGCTCATTACTGACCTTTTTCGAAGATCCATTTAATCCAAGAGGCGCTTGTATAATTATCAAGCTATTCGAGATATCACGCTAAAAACGTTTTGCCACTGTCCTGAGATCACTGAAGTAGACAGGATGAATTTGAATCTTCTTATTAAATGCTAACATCTAGTGCACGAAGAAAAACTCATCAATAGCGAAAGTCTGCCGAATAAAAAATATGATACAATGTGTGAGCGAAGGCACATTTCAAGGAGTGAAATATTCAGATACGACGAAATATCATTGTAAAACAAATAAACACACGATAAAACCAGATAGAAGTCATAATCAACGAATAAAGGTTGACCGGAGAAAGATAAGGAAAAAATAGAAAAACAAAGTGTACAAAGGAGAAAAATGCCTAAAAGCATATAAAATGGCGTCACATGTTTTAGAAAAAATAAGAATAGAGCAGAAAAAAATCACGCCATTCCTATAAACATAGCATTTCAAGGAGTGCTATGCAAGTAAAAATTGGGGAGCGTACGGTCGCAACTCTGCTTGCCTGCTCCCTAATCTTGGTGCAATTGCGGTCGTCAGAGACGCAGAGAAGCGCACACGTCACGCGCTCGTTTTGTACAGATCAAGTGTGCCCGTAATATACACTGAGGATTACTACCAAATCGTAAACAGACACACGGATATTGATGGATTTTTAGAGATTAGAAAATGATAGAATAGACATAGTAAAGACTAGAGACTTCAAAACACAAGCATACACGATTTCTTAATACACGTTAATGTTGAAGGAGTATGAAGAAGGAAATTCGGTGTCAGTTACGCACTGAAAAGAGAAAATTCGACACGTCCACTACCTAATATAGCCTATATGACCTGTAATCGTTAACCCTATAACATTACCTCCTATGACACGCAACTGACACTCCTTTTTAGGAAAGAAAACTGAGCCGCTGACATGCAAGCCGCAAAAGTTTCGCCATAAAAGTTAATATATTGGCTGATACAATACAACTACTTTGATAATATTCGTGACCAATTCAGTTCTAATCGATCGACGACCACAATCACATCGAATCTGTTACTAGGAAATTAGCTCACACATTAATGTATTGATAAGAATTAGGCAAAGAAATAAAAAGTCTAGAAAAAGGAGGGAGAAAATGAAACCGTTCCTGATGATGCTGAACCGAACTATTGAATGAAAGCGAAGCAATTGAGCAGTAGAAAGCAATATTGACTGAAGAAATAAAAGGATATGAAACGACATCGAAGAGCACTGATCGCAATGTCTCTGTTAATCACTTGTTAAAAACGACTTGTGATGTGCTCTCGATGTTATCTTCCGTAATATAGTGATCATGGCATTTATCCGGTGGCATCATGCCGTTGTGAGAGAGGAGTCGAGATCGCATTCGGAGTAGTCATCGCCCAGAGTTCGCGACTGAAATTACTACTGATTCGAGGTCGAAGAAATTTTGCGCATGGACAAAATGAAACGCAACCCCAACTCTTGGTTGAATTAAACTGGTCCTATTTGCAATTTGTGAGTAGCTCAAAGTGCTCAGACACCCACGATTGGCCAGTAAAACCAGTATTCCATCAGCCGTCGAATTAAACGACGCAAAAATGCAAATTTACGCCACGCCAAACAGATTGGGCATGAATGAGTAGAGAGGACGATACGCGAATCTAATTGAAAAGTATGAAATAGGGTTTAGCACTGTCATACATTTCCATAAAGAATATGAAAAACCAAAATACTTCACTGTAGGGCCCTTTAACTCATACATTGCAAGTAAAAATAAGAGAAACTAAGAAATTGATGAAAACTGGGGATAAAACATACTTCAGATCGCGAGGAATGTAATCTGCGAAGACTTTATGATAGTTGTAGCGAAGCACCACGCCGGCTGCCAAATGTTTCAGAGATGGTGCTAAAATATGCTAATATTGCTAACAAATTAAACGAATGGAAAATCAGAGGCAGCTTACAATGGGATCGAAAGTTGATCATACCAATGGGATCTCTGGTGGCCAGTCTATGACTTCCAAAATGAAGAAAACAGGGAATTTCTGGTTGACTAGCCACCTGGTATCCCTTCAGGACTGCGAACTTACATTCTAAGTACTTATCCTAGTAAAAAATAGTTTAAAGCTAGAGAAATACGTGAAAACACTTATTACATAATATTAACTCACCATAGTCTAGTACATAGAGATCGGCGAGATCAGCAAGACCGGATGGTGAACCCGAACTATTCTTCACAGGCCTGTAATTTAGAAATATTCAGCTCAGATGTAAACAGTTCTTCAATCTACGCGATTTTGATCAAGCTTTTCTGTGCTTCAGAAATAAATGTCAAAACTTTGCCAATGATTAAGCCCAGAGACCACTTGTAAAAAAATTACCAGTTCACTAGCATTTTATTCCAAACAAGAGTACTTTCGGGAAGAAACGGTGAGAAGATCCCGAATTTCCGCTAGTAAATCTCAAATTGAATTTCTCTTTTGTGAAAAAATAAACACTTCAGAAGTACCATCTTCCTACTTAAACCTCCTACGGAAGAGTCGGACCCACTGGATTCCCTTCCTATGAGAATAATTCTATTTCTCGACCTTGAAAGGCCTTGCGAGTTCCACTCCTGTAGTCATGTGTACATACACTGTAGCGCTAGCAATTGCAGCACTTCCCAACACAATAGTTTTTTACTGAATGGGTGAAGTGCTCTACTGGCTGACTGCAAAAAGATGCAGGATCCCAAACCACGTAGCCCATCCGTCAAACAATCAATATTTACATTTGTACACAACTCCCTTCAACAACATAATCAAGTTAAAGACATCGCTGGCATTGAAAGTCATTTCCTTCCAACCATATAAGTGACTAATAAACTAGAATATAGCTCTTCACATTTACCCGAGTACTTACATTGTTCCGCCAAACAAGAACACTCGACTGCCTACGACCACAGTGCATTGACGACGACGAGCAGATGGCATTCGTCCGGAGGTCTGAGAAAAAGGGCTATTATTGAGCAGCACGTTGGATTTTTCTACATTACAACTGGCTCATAATGCGTATCACTCGAACAAGGTACGTTTGGCATTGTCATGAGAGTTCACCTATCGATACAATGAAGCTAAATGTTAGCTTTACATTTCTACCCACTCTCAGTCAAACCCTTTTAGTTGCTACTTGTAATACTACGATTCAAAACTGAATAAAAAAAAAACTCCAAGTTCCTCACTTGTCTACGCACAATAAAATGCTAAAAAGGAAGAAGGAATGCCTACCAACCTTAATTTTCTCCCAGTGATTCGTTAATGGATCGAACGAGAACAGATCATCATAGTGCATATTTTGAGTACCAAGGTAACCACCAAAAATGTACATCTTTCCACCATAGGTCCCTGAAAAACAAGCCTTTTCAAGCTTCTCTTATAATTATGAATCGAATTGTTACTCAATACCAGTGATACATGCCGATAGAACGGATTTAGTATGGTAAATATGAGAGTGGATCAAAGCTACTCACATGCCGAATGACTTCGTCTACCGGATGGTCCAACGCCGTTGCAAATAGGATCGGACCATTCGCCTGTTCGCAAATCTAAAGCCTTCAACCGCTCATCATACATATCTCGTGTTGAATGGAACTGAAAAGAACAGATAAATAAACCGGTCACATTCATTGAAACACACGGCTCAAAAACATAATAAATATCATAACTAGAAGAGGGATTACATCATGTGAGTCTCATTTGGGTAAAATGTAAAAATATATCGGAAACATTATGGAGTACTTGTTTCACAGCAGCCACCCACAAACTTGGTCTCATCTCCAGTCCCCAACCCGAACCTCAAGAAAGTTGACGCCGCCTTTTCCTCTCAAGCATCTTCTCCCAATGAACTTTCGCATCTACCAATTCTTTTAGAAAGAAATATGAGGAACCCAACTCGCGTTTGGAGTGACAGATTCCGCCCAAGTCGAATAAGCTCGTTTATTCCCTTTATTCTAATAAGAAATCTTTGAATGTATGATGTCACATAACACCAATTCTGCAAACACTTGTGCGTTTTTACCCTATAATAATAGCAAACCACAACCCATCACAAAAGCCTTCAGAAAAAAAAAGCTGATAAAATTCCAGAAAAGTGAGCGAACAAACATCAGTGATGCATTTAGTCGGGGGAGCGATCGTAAGAGACTAGTAAATGAATTAAAAGCAAAATCCTTCCGAAATGTAACACACCTGTCCCGTGTAATCGCTTCTTCCACCGAAGATGTACATTTTGCTATCAATCGCCACAGCAGTATGAAAATCACGCCAAAGCGGTGGCTGACCCTGAAAGAAGGTGCATTCAAATGAATCGGCATGAGTGGATTTGAATATACAAAAAGACTTCAAATGAAGTGACCAAACTTCTTCACAAGCAAAGTGACTTCAAAAAAGTTGACCGCAGCTGTAAAAAAAAATTTAAACAAAAAGTTGAACTACAGCTAACCGTTGTATTGAACTCGCTCCATCGGTTTGTCAGGAAGTCAAACACATAGGTTTCTTGGCTAAATCGTTGCAGATCTTCTTCAAATCCACCGAAAAGGAACATGCGATCGCCAACAACCACTGCCGAGTGGCCATCTCTGGCTGGTGGAACGCGACCCTCGACAGGAACAATACGCCAACGGAGCAGCACTGAAAATAAGTCCACTTACTCGTCTACGTGAGTCACCTATCGCATTTCCCTTGATATTGTGCGGGAAATATGAGAAACAAGAGAAAATAGGGGAACATAATGTTTTGAAAACTGATAAAGAAATTTTGGGAACTTACCAGGATCGAACTCATGGAGGGTCGAGCTCGCTCCATAGTCATCATTTCTGCCACCCCATAAATAAGCTCGTCCTCGATATGCACAAACCGTATGTCCGTAACGCTGATATGGTAATGATCTCAATGGTTCCATGTCGTCTTCCTCCATCTGTAAAACGTATTTCACCCACGAATCTATTTCCATTCGTACCATTCAATGGCTGCCTTTTAGGGAATGGATGCTTCCGCTCCATTTACAGTATACCATTCGAATTCTATGGCATTAGCAGTTTCCATTAGCCCCCCAATGTTTTTTCTTTTTATGTCAGAGTGATGCTTTCACGAGTTGCACCGAAAACTCATTACACGAGATTACATATGCTCAAAGAACGTAACGTATTCTTGAAAGTTCTAGCAGGTCTAAAGGACTACTTGAAATTGTCATGAAAACTGCAAGTGCCCTCATAGAAAGAATAATAGATAAACCTTATTTTTCTCAGAAAGTGAACTACAGAACTACATCGACGGGAAAAAGAAGAGGTTCCTTTCGAGTTTTAGTAGAACTACTTCAAAAAAAATTGATTATTATAAAAAAGTCGATAAAGCTCACCCTCTCATCGCCTTCTTCGATATCTGAGGAATGTGCCTTCACAGAAATCCATCGATATGTATCTAAACAAAAAAACAGTGCATAAGCACGGAAAAAAGAAAGCTACAATTATTTTTAGTAAACACATAGCAACGCATGGTGGCAGCCGAAATAAAACAATAAAGAATAGCAAATTATTCTAAAAAA